CTCCCAGGCTTGGGAAAGCTTTGATGAAGCTCTTGGTATAGCCACGCTACAAGCTGAAAGACGGGCTGAAAACCCGAACCACTTTGCCTTTAGGATCGCAAAGCGTTTTCCTGCACTGCTAAGAACTGGTATCAAAACCTGCAGAAACAGTTTGTTAATAACTCCTGTGCTATAAGATTAGCTTGTGTAGTATTCGGTAACTGGAGTTTTTACATGTGCCTAGAGTATATATAGTGTGTAGTGACCCCTTAATATAACAGTATGCCCTCCGTTTCATCAGACGATGTACATCTGTTACTAATAACACTTTCAAAAGGCAATCATTTTTACCACTAGTGCAATGAAGTGATTTCCTTAAATATTTTCCCCAGCAGCTATTTTGTGCCTGTTGCGTTCTTCTCTGTGCATAAAGTTTGATGTTTTACATAATTTCATATTTGAGTGGATGCTTAAAATTCACTTTCTAAAATTTGCCTTTTTTTGACCTTCTCTCTTTTTCACTAGAGTGTAGTTAAAATAAAATCTGAAAAAGTGCAAACCAGATGACTAGACTTGAAAAAGCCAAACATAAAAGGCAAGAGAAGAAAATCACTGCAGCTGTTACATATCACTTTGATTCATTGCATATGCCTTTCAGCTGGGCTCCGGGAAGGAGGGGAAGTATATACATGCTGGAGCCATAGATGAGTGGGATGTGTGCGTGTGTGTGTATATATATATGTATGTGTACATAGGGCAGGTAAAGAGTTCCAAAATAGTCTTAAACTCAGACTCCTGGCTGTGCATTGCTTTAGGCACTGATGCTATCCCACTGGACTATGACAGAAAGCGCAGAGAGCCTGAGAGCTGTTAGAGGCTTTTCCTACCCTAATGTTGCCTTATTTCCAGACGAGAGGACTAGCAGAGCAGAAGTGGCTCTTGGGATGTGATGACCAGGAAGCCCTAAATCAGCAATTCATGTTTGAGATGCATCCCTGTCAGCTGCCACCTCCCTGGGATGGTGTTGAAGGGCAGGTTGTGCTGCTTTGCCCTTCAGGCTCATGAATAAAGCGGTGTCCCTTGGGTAGGAGCCTGTAGTGTGACCGTGGCCATAAATCCCGGGTGTGTGCAGGTGGGCAACTCCCTTTGTGCCAGGAGAAGGAAAAGGAGGATGTGGATTCAGGCCTGGCTCCTGACAAGGTTTTCCAGGAGGAGGTAAGGCAGGACGAAGTGGAAGATAAAGTGCTGCCTCACAGGCAGGCATGGGAAATGTGGTGCTGAGAACATCATCAGACCCCTCAAAACCTGCTCCCCGGGCACATTGGTGTCAAAAATGAGGGTCCCTTGCCTTCCTGGGTGTCTGCTTTATGGGGATCTCCCCAGACCATGCCTCTCAACCCTGTTTCCCTAAACTTGATTGTTTAATTGCCCTAAACTGTTTCTCCTGAAATACCCACAAATTGCTGTCGCCTGTTACACTCCTCTCTGGGAGCCAGCAGCAAAGGCCGTGAGGCTCCAAGGTGTCCATCAGCCTCCCAAAATAATCATTTTGCAAGTAGGGGTGGGATTTGCTGTGCTGAACCTGAGCACCCCAGAAGCAGGACCTCTGGGTGCGGGTAGCCCAGTGAGCTCCCTTCACTGGCTAGTGGGCAGGGACTGCTCCCGAAATCCTGCTGTGGGGGACACAGCAGCACAGATTGCCCTCTGGAGGTGACCAGCGGCCTAATCTGCTCAGCCCTGTGCTTTCCTCTTGGACCGCTTGGGCAGCAGACTAGATGATTCCTGCCCAAAATCTCTCAGTTGTCAGCCAGTCAGGGAAAATTTTAGCCAAAACCTGCTCTTGGTAGTGATTTAGGCACCTCAGAGGCTAAATGCTGTGATTTTTCTATAAGAAGTAGCTCAGTTAACATTGAAGGTGGACATAAGCCTCCAAAGCCTCTAGGACCTCTCCATATCACAGCAGCAAATCTCGCCTTGTTCAACAGCTTCAGAGTGAAGTGAGACTGTTCCTAGAGACCAATGATGACATCTAGAGTCTAATGATGAGCTGCATGGGATAGATCATGAGATAATTCATGGCTCCAAGGAGTTTGGTGGAGCCACTTGAATTTACACCAGCTCTTTGGAAGGGTTTTCATTAATGTTGCTGCCATCTGGTGTTGATGGCCCTCTAAATGTGAGGGTGGTTAGGTTAAGGGCTGCTTCTGAAAGCATTTCCTCCTACAGATTGAGACCTGAGCAGTAAAAACCAATGAGACTAGGATGGCAGAAAACCTTCCTTTTTTGCAACCTAATTTTCCATAGTGTTGTTTTGCTGAATGCTGCCTTTTGAGGTCAGAGACTCATTGCAAACATATCATACTGCTCTTGGTTGAAAGCCTGAGGGAAAAAGACCTGAAGGGTAGTGGTTAATTCCCACTCATGGTGGAGGGAATTTCTCCTCTTGAAAGTGTGCTGTGGCTTAAAATCTGGTGGTTTGCCTCATCTGAAGGCTGAGACTAAAATAGAGTAGTCATGGGAGGAAAGGGAGTATTTGCTGAAAAAATTAGGGAACTCCCTCAAAGATCAATGACTCTTTATAAAAAGTAACCTAAGCCTTGCAGCTCCTCTCTGCCCAAACAATTCGGCTTCTTAATGTGGAACGCAGAGCCTTAAAAAGGTGGAAAAAGTGATGGGCATGTGGAGCGGCAACACTCGACTGCTGATTCACAGCAGAAAATGGGCATGAAATACCACCTAGAGCCAAAGCTGGTGCTGTGCATGGTGGACAGGGTGGCAGGTTTTGTTCCTGAGGGGCAAAACCAAGCATGAGCGCATTGAGAGGGGGAGGAAAAAGCCAAGGCTGGCACGGCTGTGCCGTTTTCTGAGCTTGCACTGACATGGGTAACAAGATGTTGCCTTCCCTCCCGTTTCCGGAGAGGCTCATAGGAAAAGTTGAAAGTAATGCTGTTTTTCTCCTGGATATATAGAAATACAGTGGGAATGGGTTTAGCTCACCCTGAAACTGGGGGAAATTGCAAATGTGGCTTAAAAAAAACAAAAAGGAAATGATGGGGACTGCCAAAAAAAAGGATATGCACAGAATGAATGAATGATGCAGGACAGCAGCAGTGTGCATGCTGCCCTACACTCCTGTTTCTGAAATGGTATTACATGCCTGGTGATGGTTTACCTCTTGGCAACGAATTGGGTGGAATGAGGGTATAAAGTTGGGTTTTAAAAAAATCTATTTTCCCCAAGCTATGTGAGCCACATCAACTTGCACCAACATCTCTAGAGGGGTAGTGCTTGGGACATGCAAAGTCACATCTCTGCTCTGCCACTGAGCTCCTAAATGCCCTTGGAAAAGTCACCTAGCTTGCTGCAACAGCTTCCCAGCTGCATCACAGACTGCTGCCAGGGCTCTGAAAAGCTCACAAATGGGGTGATTGTGTCCCACGAGCAGGCCTACTTCAGCACAGTAATTGCCCAACCACAAATATTGAAGTATAATTTGCTTTTAACCAAAAAGTAATGGGGTAGAGACAGAGGTTTGGGAAAAAAAAAATGCAGCATTCCTCCTTGGAGAGTGGAGATGAATCATCGCAAGGATCAGAAATGAGTTGCAAGTTTCCCACTGCACCCGCTGGAACGAGAGCAGCTTGGCCCCCCTCTGCTGGGCCACTTTTGGCCCCCGTGCGTGGTCAGGAAACCCACTTGGCCGCAAGGGTTTCTTGCCCTGGGCTCCAGCTGGGAAGCCAGGGCTCTGCACCGGGAGGGATCGCAGTGGGGTGGCTCCATGATTAGTCACAGCGACCCTCCTCTGCAAAAGCATTGGCGGGGGGAGCCCGGGGTGGAGGAAGGAGACAGGCTGGGAAAGGCAGGAGGGAGCGATCCTGGGGGGAGAAGGGAAGCAGCTCTGGGCAAGGTTGGAAAGCCCTTCCCTTTAGGTGGGGGGAAAAAACCCAAGAGATATTGGCCAAGTGTCAGGGACACCCCTCACCCAGACCCCTCCTTGGGTGCTGTGGACTGCTATGTGCCCTCCTTGGACTACTTGCCCTGCCAGCCCCTTGCCCCAGCTGGGAGCATCTAAGTTGGGCACTTGCTTTTCCCTGTCCCGTCTCAGATCGCGCTGCTGCAATAGTTTCGAGGCATCAAAGGCGAACACCAGCCTGTGGTGGCAAATAAAAAAAAAAAAAAAAACCCTCTGCTCGCTATTTTTTAATTAATGGCTTGGTGCTAATTCCCTGCCTGATGGCCAGGGCAGGGCTGGTGGGGCTTGCTGCGCACCTGTGCTGCCTCTCAGAGGGTCCCAGGGTGTTGGACCTGCTCAAGATGAGCAAGGCTGCAGCATGATCCTGCTTCTCCAAGAGCTGTGAAAGCCTGCGGCTAGTTTTTCTGCCAGAGTGAGATTACTCAGGGCAGGGAAGTGCGTTTGCCCAAAATGCCTTGAAAACTCCCCAAAGAATAGCCGCCACGAAGAGGGGATGCTCAGCGCGAGAGCCGGGCAGGGAGGCGAGCTCGGGCTACGAGGCGCTCCGGTGCAGAAAGAAACACTTACCCCTGAGCAAACCTGGAGAAGTTGCTTATTCCCAGAGTTTTCCCACCAGAGGATTTTTCACCCTTGCTTCATGGTGGCTCTCGTCCTCCCTGTTCCTCCGTCTCCTTCCTCGGCGGCACCAAGAGGATGAGCAGAGGGTACCGAAAGTCCTCTGGCCCCCGGCGAGACAGCGGCCGCAGGTCCGAGCGGCGCGGGAGGAGGCAGCTTGTGCTGGGGCACGGGG